TGAGCCTCAGTTTCATCAGTAAGATGGGAATAATGATGTATAGATTTATGGCAATAAACTGGACTCAATGAAATTATGGGAATAAAATCTTCAATAGGGTTTTTGGAACATAGCGGTGAAGAAAACATGAAGACTCATCATAAAATCAGTTGGTGTATTTTGAGGGGAATATCTCAGGTGACATAAGTGGAAATGCAAATTTAAATTAAGACAGGTTAAGTGTAAACTACAGACGTGTTTGGGAGCTTTTCATTCATTCAACTACGATTTAGTGAGAGCCCGCTATCCCAACTAAGGAAACTGTGGACAGTAAATATTGCCTAATACATCTGAGGGGACGAAGATCCAGATCAATAGAAAACGAGGTCAGGCATAATTGTTCAGTACACTATGGCTTCCGAGTGTGAGGTTCTTCCGATGGGCTAAAAAGGAGCCTACGCGTGCCTATTGGAAAGAATCTTGGAGAACTAGCGACCCCGGGCGAAGAAAACTGAAGCCCCAAAACTACCCGCCTGCGGAAAGAAATTAGGAAATTCCTGTAGAATCTGGCGGGGCCCCGCATTTCGTCGCCCTCTTAGCGCAGTGGGCAGCGCGTCAGTCTCATAATCTGAAGGTCCTGAGTTCGAGCCTCAGAGAGGGCAGCTTTTGCAAGGAACGCTTACTTTCCTGGTACCTGTTGTAGCTGTAATTCCCACTCCCTTTACAGCTGGGGTATAATTGCTTCTTTTCTAAAATATCAAGCAAGTGGAATTGCGTCGGGCCCAGAGCTTTCCCACAGTGGCTGTCTATGGGTGCTCGTTTGACACGCGCTCGCGGCTCCGCGCAGTGGCTGTTTCTGGATGAGTCTGGAGACTCCGCCTGCAGTCCTGTGCTGGCTCCACCTTGGCAGGGGTGGAGCTCAGGAATGTTGAGTGGCCCCGAAAAACCAGGTGGAACATAAGACTTCTAGTCCGGAAAAAACTCCCGCACGCCTCAAATAGCCAATAGCGGGGTGGGGGCTGGGGATAGCGGAATTTGTAACCAGCTCACTTGGGAGGCAGCGGCCTGCAGGGTCCGCGTCCGCATTCTCCGACTTTGCTCCTTTCTTCCCTCTGGGTGGGGCAACCGTCGCTTCCCAGTTGATCACCTCAGAGCTGTACGCTTGGGTGCAGATGTCGAATACATTGATCTTCTTATTTTTATGTTTTTATTTTTATGGTACACAGACGACAGGGAATCACTGATCTGTTTTCCCCCAAATGGTTCCCTGGCGGGGGCTGGCAATACCTTTATATCTTTGACCGACATCCAACAGACTGTATGTGTGCCATGCGGGAAAACCGAGGAGCGACCAGGGGCGGGAACTCCGAGCAGGTGCTCAAAGACGAAGAAAATCTGTGCTGGGCTGGGGTGGTCACTTTCTTCTCAGAGATGCAGAGTGCTACACGGCGGGTGGGAGGGTTACAGGAGCCAAGGGAAGTTAATTTTATGACAAGAAGACCTCTCCGCTGCTTGGAACTGGGGATTCAACCTGGGAAACAAGGAAAGCCGATGACGCGAACCTAGAGGAGCTAAAAAGAGAAGCTAGAAGCGGGAACGAGAGAATTTGGGGGAACAGATCCGGGCTTGGAGAGGAAATTGCAAAGCGCCAGTCAGCCGAAGGAAGGTTCTGATACCCAGTGGAATTTATAGAAAATAAATTCAGAAAGAGAGAAAGAAGGAGAGTGGTGGGCAGTCTGTCCTCAACGAGGTGTTATATCCGCCTGCCAGGGATCCCATCATCACTGGTCCTGAATCTAACTGGCGTTTCATCTGTAACGCCAGTCCTGAACAATAGTCTGAGAAATCCTTCAAACTCATGTGCCACACACAGAACCCGAGACAGTTTTTTCTCCTTTGTTATAGAGGCTCCTTGAGATAGAAATGAATATACAAAAATGTCTCAGCAGAAAGTACTGAAGAGCAATCCCACCCCATCCATTCTCAGAGCCTAAAATCAAGCTAGTCAGAGGAAGGGATTTACAGAGCAGGACTGCATTTTGGCTGGCCTTCACACCCTCTTCAAATTGAGCCCAAGCTCCACATTCTGAGGATGACACTCAGGACATGAGGGGGCCCTGAGAAAGGGCTGTTCCCTCCGCAAACTCAAAGTGATGCAGCACACAGCCTGGAGGAAATGAGAAAATTATCACAAGTCTTTCAGATTCACAAATGCCATGTTCCCTTAGTTTTAAGGCCACGAAGGTCAAGTAAGGACCCAAATAACTACCAAACATCTCAGAGAACGCTTTGGGCAAGAGTGCAGAGGCAATCAATTGCCTTGTTCCCGTTACAGTTCGCAGTTACTAATTTCACGAAAGAGAGCACGTCACACCTGGGGCAAGCCACAGCGGGAACTGCCAGATTAATTAGCACAGATATCCCAGAATGTTCTGCAGCTCTTGTATTTTAAGGAAGTTATGATTACGGACTGACTGTTGATGAGTCAACAGTTGAGGAGGAGGAGGTTTTGGGGCTGTCCATTCCAGGTTCCATGTTCACACCACGGCACCACCATTCCTAGGGTGTCTAGACATGTATAAGTGCAAAAACCATGTATATAGAGAAAATGATTTATGTATATGTCAGAGCACTTTCAAGTTTAAAAATTTCAATAAGCACTTTTTTTTTTTTTTTTTTTTTTTTTTTTGAGAGTGCGGTGGTGCGATCTCGGTTCACTGTCACCTCTGCCTTCCAGGTTCAAGAGGTTCTCCTGCCTCAGCCTCCCGACTAACTGGGATTACAGACGAGCACTACCACGCCCAGCTAATTTTGTATTTTTAGTAGAGACAGGGTTTCCCCGTGTTGGCCAGGCTGGTCTCTAACTCCTGGCCTCAAGTGATTCCCACCTCCCACCCCGCCACGCCCCCACCTCGGCTTCCCACCGAGCCTGGCCTAATAAGCACTTTTTTTAAGTTTTAAAATTTTAATGAAATATTTCAGACTTTAGATAGGAAAGGGAATGAGATAATTTTTTGTCAGTTTTTCCAGGTTGCTGAACAAAATAATTACCAGAAAGAAATCAATATTTAGCTGTAATTTTTGATGCTACAAGACCGGTCTGGAGACAGTGTTCAGGCAGTGTCTGGAGAGTATTGTTTAGGCTCCTGCTTCCTCACCCAGTCCCCTCCAACAACACTGTTGGTCCATTATGCTTCCCACTGTCCTTAGTCCATCTCATCCATGAATAGGCCATCAGCTCCCCCAGACCAGCAGCAGTGGGCTTTCCTTTGAAATCTGGAGGGTCTGGAGGGCTGCTCAAACTTCCCTTGACTTAGTTATCTCAGAGCATTGTGATGGAAAAGAAACATCCCATGCAAGTAGACTGCACTAGGTTGTGAACTGGAAGGAAGTTTGGAAAGGAGGAATACCCATTACACATTTCGCTTTCTTGAACTCGGCCGTGGAGATAAGGATGAAATCAACGCTTGAGAGAACTAGGAAATTTTAGGGCCATGTTTGTATGTGTGTTAAGTACTTGTTAACAAATTGGTAATAGATCATAAATATGATCTAACACTAACTTTTTTTCTGATTGTCACCCATACAAAAAAAAAATTTCTCTTAATGGCTGATTATAAATAATAAACTAAAATCTACAGATTTGTATGTTTTTTAAGACTCTTTTCATCCATAAAAGGTCCCTGGTCTTTCTTTTATTGATATTAGTTTTTAAAATTGATAGACATTATGTTTTAGAGAAGTTCTGGGTTTAAAGAAAAATTGATCAGAATACATAGAATTTCCATAAACTCCATCACTCTCCCTCTCTTACAATTTCCCCTATTATTAACATCTTGCATCATTGTGGTGCATTTGCTACAATTGGTAAACCAATAATTATTAATACACCAATATTAGCACTAATGTGTGGTTCCGCTGCCGTTCATAAATACAGGTATATATAACTCATATATTTGTGTGTTGATAAAGGAAATGATGCACAAAAATTAGAAAATAACATTGAAAGAATGAACATAAAAGTAAACATGAAGAGATTCTCAAATGCACAGTTTAGAAACGAATCAAAAGTATATCTTCAAGCTCCTTAGAATATAATGACATATTTCTAAGGATTCTGTAGAAACTGCTTTCTAATTTTAAATTATACCTTTAAATACCCAAGTTACAAAACATTAGAAGAAATCAGTGCATTAAATATACGAAGTAAGAAAAAGAAGGAAAAAAAAAAAAGAAAAAGAAGAAGAAGAAGATCAGCAGCCTGATAGAAAGCCAGAAAATAGAATGGTGAAGGAAACACAGGAATTAACTAGAAAATAGCAAAATCTGATTGGTCATTTAAAAAAAAAAAAAAGTAAAATTGTCAGTCAAATGTAAAAATAAATAAATAAATAAATAAATGGATATGGAGAAAGCAGAAAGAAAAACCAAAATACATTAGTGAATGCTATTATTAAGATTTGAGAAATGTGGCAGGATGATGTTTTTAAGTATTGCTTTGTGTTTTATCTCCCTGTTTCCTTATACCACCCACCTCATCTGTTCAAGGTAGTAACTGTATTTTATAGAACCTTAACTCTACACATGGGGATGAAGTGAGTTGAGCACAGTCTACACAGACTACGTAGACTACATAGTGTTTTGGTACTCAGGAAGCTCCCAATCTAGGGGAGAGAAAAACAAGCGAATAACTTAAAAGACATACTTTCCGGAGGAGACGATATTGTGAAGCTATAGCAGGAACTGAGAGATCGTGTGGCATCACTTTTAGCTGTACTTGCCGAAAGACGGGAAATTTGCCTTGAGACCTGGGTACCTAGAAGTGCCAAACCTGAGGCAGGAGTGGAAAGAAGGGAGGCTGGAAGCAGGGGCAACAAGACTCTTGTATGGGGAGCAGGGAAACACGGGCTCCAGGGAGGCGGCGGGTTCCTCTGATCTTCTCCCAGGTAAGAAGCACCGATGTCGCCAACGGGAGAAAGAACGTGGTATACAGACCAAGAGACATAAACTGGACAAGAAGCTGGAGAATGCGGGCGTTGATCCCGCTACCTCTCGCATGCTAAGCGAGCGCTCTACCGCCTGAGCTAATTCCCCACTGGGGGAACGCCGCACCCCACCCATTTTCCTGATTATTAGGAGCCTGCCGGGACTCTGGGCCGCCAAACCCCTGGTAGGACAAGATTGAGGGCGGAGCTTCTCAGATACTGCCTTGAGCAAAGTTCTATGAGCCTGACAGTGTGAAGAATAGGGATTTCCAAAGAAGGTCATGAGGGAGACCTCTCTCCTCACTTCCCAGTTTCGCCTTCCTCATCTCTCGGAAGTAGAGAGCACATTCCAGACGGAGAAGCACCACCCGGAACTGCCTGGCTAGCGGGCATGGCTCTTGCAGCCTGCTCTAGAGTTGTGATCGTCACCTGCTCCTTGCAGGCAAGGCCGCCCGGAAGTAGCGGGGCGCCTTCTCCCAGCCCCAGAGCCTTACGCCATACGCGGCCGCATCTTCAAGAGCACTTTCCTCCTGTAGGACTCAGAAAGCGATAGAGAACCTTGGAGGAGCTGAGAAAGAGAAAGCTTGAGAATTTTAATCTCAATCTGTGGAGTCATTCCCGAAGCACTTCTTCAGCACCAGGCACAATGGATGAGGCCAATTATCCACATAGAAACTGCCACAACAACAAGTAGTAGTACTGTGCAATTGTCGTCTAGGCCCTATTTTGGATGCTGTACACATACTAATATTAATGCAGGTAAAATGCCTAGAAATAGTTTCTAATCTTCGGTTTTTTATATGGAAAAATTATGGAAATTTGTCACCACAGGGCTCAGGGATCTCTCAGGCAAAAGGAAAAAACAGATGCAGCTATACAGTGTCTGCTGTTTAGGTGCTTCCCTTGCCATTCTCCTTCCCTGTCAGCTTCCTCCCCCTTCTCTTGCTGCATTGGGCACCACACTTGTCCTTCTTACGCCTGTCTAGTTCTTCAATTCCCAGGCCCACCGAAGAAGACTTCCCCTGTAGCCCAGGGGAAGCTACATTAGCTCCACTGCCTTGGAGTTGTAGTGGATTCCAAATCTGCTTTCCACCTATGAAGAATTCTCATTTAAGACAGTAACATAGTCATTTTTCTCTGAGTATAAGTAGCATCAAGTAGGATTTTGCCTGATGAAAATTTGCTGAATGGAGAAAGGCTATACAGATAATTAGAAGCCTCAAAGGAGAGAGTGGCTTCAGATCAGTAAAGACTGAAGAAAGGATTAGAAGCTAGGGTCTAACAAACCCGTAGAAATGTTTTTGCCTGAAAAGGAAATGTGGTTGGGGAAGAGTGGAGGGCGCTACTTTCAGAGTGATTAGTGGGTGGAGGCATGACCTTCATGGAGCTGCAGGTGGTTTGGGGCAGCTTCAGGTCCCTCCTTCATGGTCCCAGTTTATTAGGAGGGCACATCCTGAGAATGCAAGAGGCTGCTCCTATGGGACAAAAATTCAACAACATGTTCATTATGTCTGACATTCATTTTTGAGTTCATTTATGAATAAGGAAATAAGATAGAAAAACATGTAATCAATAACACGGTCTTTCTATTACAATTGACAAAGGGCAATGCTGAGAAGTCAAATGGTGTCAGAGAGAGATCTGAGTGATGGGAAAGAAAGAAGGATGGAAAGAGTGGCACGTCCCAGGGACCTACAAGAACTTCCTGGAGTCACCTACACAAAGACCACTCTCTTCAGCATTCTGAGCTCTGCTTTGGCCAGCTGAGCTAAAGTCAACCTATGTGTTGTTAATACAGAGCCTCATGTAGTTTCTTTAAATAGAGGATAGTGTTGCAGTTTCCAAAATACATTTTATTTATTTATTTATTTATTTATTTTTTACATTGTGGTTCGTGTTGGAAATTAGAGGAAGACCTAGGTCCCAATTTGTTTTGAGCACATTTTGTCACAACGAGCTTTCAGAGAGTTGAATAGAAGGATTGAATGTCACTTTTCTTAGTGAGTGTATCCGACTACTAGAGTTAATATGCTAGTTCCCACCTTCACTTATACTCCTTCCTTACCTCTCTCCTGCATGTCTCTCTTCTAAATACCTGGCCAACTCTCAGATAATCTGATAGAAGACACATTTTCATCCTCTACCTGACCATGTGTTGTCAATGTAATTAAAAGCAAAAGACTGGCACATTCAAATCTCCTGCTCTTGCCTCGGGACACTATTTCTAGGCTGTTTCTCATATTTTGAACCCAAAAGGCTAAGGTTTGGTTTCCCCACGAAAATACATTTTATTAACTTCGAGCTGAAGCCCCAAAACCTGTATTTGCAAAACTCATTTGTGACTAATCTCTTCCTTTTTTTTTGCTTTTCCATGTAATACTACGTATCATTTCCTTAAAAGAAAAAGATGTACATAACAGGATGACACTGAATTGAATAAAGAGCGGTAAATCCGCTGAAAGTATTTATCAGACACCGCTGGTAGACTAGGGATTAAAAGAAGCTGGAGAATGCAGGCGTTGATCCTGCTACCTCTTGCATGCAAAGCAAGCGCTCTACCACCTGAGCTAATTCCCCCATATTACACTTGTCCTTTCTGCCTGTTCTTATAACCGGGACACAAGTACAAATATCGTTCCATGTCCCACTTAAGTGTCCAGGTTTTCAAACACCTCCGGAAACTTCCTTACCAGGGCGAAGCCAGGAGTGAAGCTTCTGGGAGACGGCCTCAGACCTGGAAGGCAGTGACCATCCTCTGCTTTTTCAATCTGAGTCGGGATCCTGACAAAGAGAGAAAAGATCTCATTAGGAAAGCTCTAGTTCTAATCCGATTTCACTCTCCCATTAGATGAAAGAGAAGGAAGTACCGTCCCTAATTAGCAGTTACCTCAAATGCTCTGTTGAATGCATCACTTTTGATAACGCAAACCTGGAAATAAACCCAAGTATCTTTTTATCAATTGATCCTTCAAGTAACTTATCTTTATCTAATATCTGTGTTACTAATTGTTTTTCCATTTAGGGGATTTGAGATCTGTTGTTTCCTGTTAATCTTTGATAGATTTAATTTGCATTTTTGTACTGATTGATGTTGTTGAACAACTTTAGCGTGTCTATTGGCCATATAAGTATCTTATTTTGTGAAATGCCTGCTCAAGTTTTTTGCCCTTATCCTTACTGAGTGTTTGTATCACTGAGTTCTAAAATGTGTTTTATATTCTCCATAAAAGTCCTTTGTTATATGTGTATGTATAACACATATGATGTATAACAACTGTGTGTGCATATAACATATATTAAATTTCTTTTGAAGTCTATGTCTTGCCTTTTCAATTTCTTAATATTGTCTTTCAAAGAAAAAGCATTTTAATATTTTATGAAATCCAATGTATCTTTTTTTGTAAGGGCTCATGCTTTCCTGGTCTCTTCTGAAAAAGCTTTGCCTACATCAAATATGTGCAGACTTCTTTTCTTCTTTTCTTCTGCAAGTTGATATCTTTAACATTAAACTTCATGTATATAAACCATTTTGATTTAATTGTTGTATAGGATGTGAGTAAGGGTAGGGAATCATTTTTTCCATACTCAGTTGCCTGGGACGATTTGTTTAAAAAGCTCATTAAGTAACATTTTACCTGTGTCATAAATCAGTGACCACAACGTTGGTCTATTTCTGGACTATCTATTCTATTCCATCAATCTGTGTAAGTATCCCTGAGACAATACCACATTATTTTGATTAGCCTTAGCTTTATAGTAAGTCTTGAAATCACTTGGTGTAAGTCCTGTATCTTTGTTTTCTTTTCCTAATTATTTTGGTCACTCTAGGTCCTTCAGAATAAGCTTGTCAATTTCTGTAGAAACAAACAAACAAAACAAAGCAAAACAAAACTCCTGCTGGGATATTTGTTGGGATTGTAGTAAATCTACAGATCAACTCAGAGAAAAAAAATGATGTCTTAATAATATTAAATTTTTCAATCTGTAAATATGGCAAAAACACCAATTATTTAGATTTTCCTGAGTTTTTCTCAGCAATCTTTTGTAGATTTCTATGTACAAGTCTTGTGCACATTGACAAGTTTATCTCTAAATATTTCATTTGTTTTAATCCTATTGAAAATGGTAACTTAATTTTCCATTTTTGTTGATGCTAGTACATAGAAATCCAATTAATTTTTGTATATTGTAATCTGTGACATAGCTGTATTTACTTATAATGCTTATTTTTGTAGATGCATTAGGATTTTTCGTGTATCTGATTATGTTGTTTGCAAATGAATATATTTTCTTATTCTAAAATGATTTATTTATTCATTTATTCTTTATTCATGCGTTCCTTACTTTCTGGCACTAGCTACGACTTTCTGTAACATGTAGAAGAAGTGAGAACAGATATTTTGCACTTTTCCCCAATATTAAAGGGTACATATTTGTTCTTCCACTATTAACTCTGTTGTTAGTTGTAGGAATTCTTAAATGCCCATTATTCATCTGAGGAATTTTCCTTCCATTCTTAGTTTACTGAGATAATTTTTAAAAACCACGAATGAATGGCAAATTTGGTCCAATATTTCTTCTGCATCTAGTGAGATGATTACATGTATTTTTTGTTTTGTTAATGTAGTATATTACATTTAATTGACTTTTCAATGCTTGACTAATTTTTTATTCCCGAGGCAATCTCCCTTAACTCATGGTGCATTATGCTTTATAGATAATGCTGGATTCAATTTGTTAATATTCTAATTCAGTATCTGTTGGTAAGTGTGTCAGAGAAGGGCCTCCAAGTGCGGGACATGCCGCTTTCACAGCCCAAAGAAACATGGTGAGCACAGCACTCCCTTCTAAGTGATGGGAACTTCGAGATGCAACAATGAGTCTTTACCTTGGAGGAAATGTCTGAGAATTTCACAGATCCTAAAAACTTTCATTCACGGACCAGGTCGATGAATGGTTTCTGTGTTTCTCTCCCATCCTCTGGAACATGCAGGGCTTAACAAAATCTATACCTTACTTGACACTTCTTGCTCACTGAAGATTTAAATGATACTATCAATACAGTGTGTACCAGTGTTTTGCTGATAGTCCAGACAGTTCAATTCTCTT